GTTTCGGCCGCATCCCCTGCCGAAACGCTGCACGTTCTACCATGGGCATGGTTCTCTAACATCCGCTGCTGCCTGCGCCGCTCCTCCCGCCGTAGCACGCCGCTCCTCCCGCTGGGACACCATGCTCTGCTCTCCGGGCTCCCAGGCTGCACCTGGCCTCGTCTACAGCTCAGCTCGTTCAGACACGTATGTAACCCGGCTCACGGAGCTGACCAGCGCTGGCGTTACGTGGTCTGTTTGTTCATATTAATCGCATTGTGGTCGCATTGTGTATGCTTGTCGCGGGTCCGTGTTTGTCCCATGCATTCGTTGGTCTGTTTCTGCTTTGATCCGCTCTGATCTGCTCGTCAGTGCTTAATGGCGCCGCTCCTTAAACACGGCTCTGTGTCACGGCTGTTCATGTCTCCTCCGTGAAACAGTTCAAACGCATTTTTGGGAGTCTCCCTTAATCAGGAGTCTCCTCATAAGGCCCGAATTGTTCGTATTGAGGCTTAATGTAATCGGTCTCTGAGGCTTAATGTAATATTGCAATGTACAATTGTGAAGAGGAATCTGCAAACTTTGGTGCCTCTTACTGAAATGCTTGAACATCCCTGGTGCGCAGTAAACGTTGGCTCAAAGGGACGTGTTGTCCCAAAGGGACGTGTTGTCCCAAGTTCCTTAGCGGAGTATTTCATCTTTACCCTTGAGTAGGCTGGTGTCGGTTATCAACAGTAGTTTAATGCTTCATTCCACCTCCAGACCGCTGTGCGGAGTTTGCATGTTCTCTCCCCGCGTCTGGCTAGTTCGCTCTTTGGTCCTCCACGTGCTCTTTTTTTCCCCCCACTGCTACCATGTGCACTAGATCCACCCTTTTCCCGCGGGAGATGGGGGTGCCGTTGTTCTTCATTACCTTTGTATCCAATAAATACTCTCATGTCCGGAAGGGGATTCAGTTGGGTCATTCTGCGTCTGAGAAAACTGGCTCTGGAGGTTTTAAGCCTGGCTGGCTGTTTAATCTCTACCTCATTCTGCAGGGTGTAAATTCTGTCCGGCCGTGCCTTCCAAATATTCCCGTAGCAATAGGCCCTGTCAATCCCGCACGGGGCCTGCCCTTCCTACACAGGGCTTGTTCATCTCAAGTCTGACTACGTCTGGCCGCCGCACTGGCGACCATGCGTGCGCAGCACACCCTCATCAATGGTTTTGTTTTTAATCCCGACTGATTACTCTCTTCCCCCAGGCTCACCTTGTGCCGTTTCCTTCCTCAACTTGGATTTGATAAAAAATAAAGTAATTCCCCAGGTCTGTTCATCCCCAGGCTGCTGCGCGCTCTGCGACCCTGTTTTCTTGTCAACAGGTGCTGCTCGGACCTCGGCCTCTGCTCCTGCCTCCTCGATCGCTGGACCGGTGTCTTTCTTTCATGATGGCACTGTCTCTTCCAATACACTCTTTCACGGACGCAACTCAGTCCGTGGGTTTTGGGGGTCAAATCAAGGCCAGTGGTTAGCTGCACCCTGGCCCAAGGACTTATTTTTACCCCTACCACTATAATCTCCGCCTTCAACACTTCAAAAGGAAGGTACCTGTAACGTTGTCATTATGCATAATCTTTTTTCCACTGTCGGGATAAACACCTGATGAAATGCACTCTCCTTCATGCTTGGAGAGGATATTCAGATGGCCCGCTATTTCTCTCTCAAATAATATCATGTTGGCGTCATGCTTCGAGCCCTTCTTAAATTCCGGCCGGTCTCCTGCAATCTCTCCCCTCTCAAATACCGGGCGCTTGTTCGGAATAGCCGTCGCACGGCATCCTGCTGGGCCTTCCTCACTCTTCCCTACAGCAAATGGGTTGATGGTCCTCTTCGGCTAGTCCTGCTCATCCTATATCAGACTAAACACTGACTCTATACTGTCTGCTCAGCGCACCCTCTCATCAATCTGAGGTAATTAAATATCAATACTCTGGTGGTGGCTAATGCTCTTCTCCCACGTAAGCATTCACAACAGCTGTTGCATTTCAATCCGGACATACATATAATCACTGTCTTACGCTACATACATTCAGGCTCACTGCAGCGCTCTGTGCAGAGAAACTTCTCTGCATAACCCCCTACGGCTCACATCATACACGCACGACACGAAGCGGCCTGTGCCGAGAGTCGGCTCCGCAGGGCCCACGCTTCCCTCTTCCCTGCCTCACTACAGAGCGTGCGGATCACTCCCCCTCGCATATTCTCTGTATCATACGCTGATACACGTATGCTCAACAAGATCTTGTATGAAAAAGCTCTCTACATTGCTGCTCCTGGTTCTCAACACACATTGCCCGCATCAGCTTTGCGATTACACGCATTTACTCTACACTTCACGCATCCATCACGCACGCATTTCCACTACAGCTGCTCATTCAGTGAGTTGCTGTTCCCGTAGATCCCCTGCGGCTTACCTTATACACGCATCTCACGAAGCGGCCCACGCTTCACTCATTCATGCCTCATTACAGAGCGTGCGGATGAATCCCCCGCGCATATTCTCTGTATTCGATGCTTCACGCTGTCCATGCAATTCCGTTCATGCAACCCCTGCTCCATGCAATCTCTGCTCCATGCAATTTCTGCTCCATGCAACCCCTTCTCTATGCAACCCCTGCTCCATGCAACCCCTTCTCCATGCAACCCCTGCTCCAAGCAACCCCTGCTCCATGCAACCCCTGCTCCATGCAACCCCTGCTCCATGCAACCCCTGCTCCATGCAACCCCTGCTCCATGCAATCTCAGCTCCATGCAATCTCAGCTCCATGCAATCTCTGCTCCATGCAATCTCTGCTCCATGCAAACCCTAGCTCTTCAGCAGCCTAAACGTCCATGTGAATTCCCTGGCCCACACAAGCTCCGTTTCTTTTTTGGGGGGAATGAGATCATCTACAGCAGCTGACGATCTCCCCTCTGCAAGTATCTTGCCATTGTATTTTACCTTCACGATTGCAGGATAGACTAAGAATTATTCGATGTCTTTCTGGCAAAAAAATCATTATATCCTCGCCGCTTCCTACTTGTCCTGTAGGCTGTGCAAAACCACAGCAGAGTACCAACTGGGAGAGTGATACAGTAGATGTAGTCATTCATTAACTGAATGAGGTAACTGGATAGTTTGTCTTTAATGCTGGTGTTCAAATGTCGAACCACACTATCACCTGACTCAGATGTCACTCCTTAAACACAGTTCTGAGAAAAATATCTTCTTAAAGTTCTAAGGTTCATGTGAGAAGTAAGTATTTACTCGTCACATCTACTTCACAGAGTAGTTCTATGTAAGTAAGTGAGTAGATACATTGACTCGTCATCTAACAAACAAAGTGTGAATAGCAATTACACTAACTAGAGCTACAGAGTAATTAACAAACAAACGACTTCTAAATTATTTAAAATAATTTTAATTTATTATTTTTATATAAAACGAGTGGGGTTAAAATAGCCTTGGTCAATTTATACTCGGGGTATAAAATGGCCTGTTCCACCTGAAGAGGTCACAGGTTTCATTATTGTGCAGTCCATGGAGGCTTCGGACTGCGCTTTGTCTGACTCGTCACCCAAGACCTGTTTGCCATGGGAGGCCCTACCAGGGGCATGAAGCCCCAGACAACATAGCTCCCAGGATCATCCGAGTACTCAAACTCCCCCACCACGTTAGGTGGCAGTCCAGGGGGAGACCTGAAATCTAAAAAGTTAGGTAGTGAGTTAGTCAAAATAATGAAAAGTGACATTGATTTTTTATCTGTGGAACAAAAACTATAAAAAAGAACTCCACTTGAAGAAGAACCTCAGTCACAATCCATTGTTCCTGGACCTCCTGCAGAACTACCTTGTCCTGTTCTGGTGGGACAAATGTTGGTCCTCACACAGACAGGACTTACCCTCAGGTGCTTGACAGGAGCTGAATTCTTTGAATATATTTTTGCTGTAAGGAAGATCTTTGTTCTTGAGGTTAGAGATGTCAAGAACTAAGCACAATTACATAAGAAGCATAACACTTTTGTGTCTTAAGAAGAAAAAATACATTCTGAATTCTTGTGTAGTAGTCCGTACTGGTTCGAGTCGAGAGTCTAGAGCTGGAAAGTATAGTTTGAATAGGCCCTGATTCTTCTCTGTGTGTTGTAAGGTGAAGTCAGCTCTATATCGCAGCTTCAAGTTTCCGAGGGCATCAGCTTATTAAGCAACATGCCCCAGTACATGTTTTAACTAACAGTAGTTAGTTATACCATGTAGCTATACCATGTTCCAGTACATGTTTTAACTAACAGTAGTTAGTTTTACCGGTCGTGGGTTCATTTCCCACCTCTGCACCTTCTCCATCGACTCCCACTGATGACTGCTGTCGTGTCCTTGGGCAAGACACTTAACCCCACTTTGCCCAAAGCCCCCACTGAAAGATCAAGGCTATGCTCACACTCAGAGAGCAGCCGTCCTCCTGTGGACTCACCACCTGCAGAGGGTCAGTGAGGGGCTGGTGCTATGAGACTTGGGTGGCATCTCTGATTGCCACCCCCCTGACCCAGAAATGGATTAAAGGGTAGAAAATGGATGGATGGATGGATAGTTAGTTTTACCATGTAGCTATTCCATGTTCCAGTACATGTTATAACTAACAGTAGTTAGTTATACCATGTAGCTATTCCATGTTCCAGCACATGTTTTAACTAACAGTAGTTAGTTATACCATGTAGCTATTCCATGTTCCAGTACTTGTTTTAACTAATTTATTTTTTAACTAACAGTAGTTAGTTATACCATGTCCCAGTACATGGTTTAACGACTGCCGCAGTCATCCCATGTCCCAGTACATAAAAATAACAACTACTTCAATAATGTTGGAAATCAATGATGTAGTCATTATTCGATGTATTGTGATCCTCCCGTTCAAATTTTTACGTCTAATTTTCGCTTCCGAGCTCAAATCCCAACCCCTTCCCAGCCCGCTCCAGTCCGTCCAGTACCACCTGCCTAGTCCAGTCACGCTTAAAACTCTCCGTGCACTCGGACATTGTAGAGGCAGGTGAAGTCCTTGTTACCATAGTTACTCTTGATGTGGAGGCGGACTTGTTGGACTGTCTCGGGGTCGCCGTGTTGAAGTCCAAACGTTTGGAATGATGGTCCGTTCTGATCATAAATGAAAGAGCCCAAAAACTCCTCTTCGCTGTCCTCCCACTTCAGTCCCTGAAAAGACCAGAGACATACAGTAAATGTGACATAGTTCTGACAGATGCAGAGAGAGAGACCAGAGAGAGACCAGAGAGAGACCAGAGAGAGACCAGAGAGAGACCAGCGAGAGAGACCAGCGAGAGAGACCAGCGAGAGAGACCAGCGTGAGAGACCAGCGTGAGAGACCAGCGTGAGACCAGAGAGAGACCAGAGAGAGAGACCAGAGAGATAGACCAGAGTGAGTGACCAAAAAGAGAGAGAACAGAGAGAGGTGGTGTTGTGGACTTGTGCTACTTATCCTGACTATTGTGGAAGTTCTCACTCACATATAGAGCCATGTCTCAGGGAGCGCTGGGAGTGACTTTGGTCGGGGATTGAATCTTCCGGATGTGACCAATGGTGACATGCCGGACTCTGATGCCCTGGGAGAGCTGGATGGTCACATAATCTTTGTCCCCAGCCATCGGCCAGCACACACCGGGGCGTAGCGGGGAGCAGGACTGGGGAAGACAGACGAAACAGCACATAAGTTTGAACACACACATCTGTGAATACAAAGGAGTCCACTTGAAGGAACCCCATAGACTTCCCGTAATCAATAGTAACGCTGTGAAATATGGATATTAGGGGTGGAAATTGGCAAAAATGTGACAATATTATCGTGAGATATAACATTTTTATTTTTTTCTGCGATTTATATCCCTCATATTTTTCAAAGGAATTACAGCAAAATCGATTTAAGTGCGTGGCCAAAATATTGCAATGCGGATTGGAATGCTGGATATAGGACCCATTCCCAGGTCCACACACAGGGTCAAAGCGTGGGAATGGTTCTGTTTGTTTTGTGAAGCTTGGAAGTGGGACACTTCTTGAGACACGCACAAGACGTAGCACCGGCGATCCTGAGTGGCAGATAATTTTTTTATCTTCTGACGGAGTTTACATTGGCGTCGATCCCAGACCCTTGTGTTCGGCAAAACGCCTCTTATGGAGCTTGGTGGAACTACAAGGGTCTGGCAAGAGTCAGGTTAACTGTTGGCAGCATTAGAAAACGACCCCCCCCCTTCCACTACTGTTTGGTTTGTGTTTTACCCTTTTGTCTGTTGCCTGCTTGTTCGTTGTGAAAAAGTCTACTGGTTTGTCAAGCGTGAAATGCCGAAATGGATGTTAACAAACTTCTGAATGGAATGTTTTGTTTAAAAAAGTGGCTAGATGGGCCGCCTGATAAGACCAAAGTTATTTGTAGCACATCCACTTTGAAATACCACCTGACGGCCAAACACAATCTGATGCGAACTCTCCTCTGCCGCCGCTTTTTTATCAAAAGCAGGCGACAATAGATGGTTTTGACAGAGACATATGGATACCGCAAAAGAAAAAACAAGCCAGAACAAAATGGGTAGCTACTGTCTGTCTGCCGTCAACAATGTGGAAAACGAGCGTCTAGCTGAAATTATTCATTTCAGGGCATGGTCACATACGAACTAGGCCATATGACCAAATGTGACCCCACAGGGGTGTGAAGACGGCCCGCGGTCATAAGGGTTTATTTTTTCAATCGTGCCAGCCCAAATGCGCTGTAGTACGACCCTCGATCCAGCTACTGGTGCTAATACAAACTTCAGCAACTGCCTTGGGGTTCGAGTTAATTATCCGTTTCTCAGGCCCACCTATCCCAGTGCCCAAGCACGATTGCTGCAATCGTACCTAAGCCCAGTTGCCGTGCTCACATAGCCCCTAAAGCCTGGATCTGATTGCAATCGGTGCCTAGTCCCACATTAACCGGGCTTTAGGTTGTCCATGTGACCACAGCCTTATGCTTTTGTTTATTTTGCATCAGAATCAGAATCAGAATCATTTTTATTGCCACGTAAGTAACAGGAGGTCACAGACTTGGAAATTGCTTTGGCTCAGTGCAACAGTCAAAAAGAAATAATAAAAATAAGAATAAAGAACACTTCTAAAGAATAAATTTAAATTTAAAATAGAGTTACAGTTACTATTTACAATATACAAGTGCACATGGTGCACACAATGTAAGGTGACAGCAGTACAGTGAAGTAAAGTGACGTATGATGGGCAGTAAAGTGACTTTATAAAGGGCGGGCGGACAGGTTAAGAAGTGTTCAAGAGTCCAACAGCAGAGGGGAAGAAACTGTTCTTGTGGCGGGAGGTTCTAGTCCTGATGGACCGCAGCCTCCTGCCTGAGGGGAGTGGTTGGAATAGTCCATGTGCAGGGTGAGAGGGGTCGGCTGTGATACGACGAGCCCGGCCTCGAGCTCGGGCGACGTACAGGTCCTGCAGCGATGGAAGGCTGCGGCCGATCACTTCCTCTGCAGAGCGCACAATGCGCTGTAGTCTCTGTTTGTCCCTGACTGTGGCTCCAGCGAACCACACGGTGATGGAGAAGAGGTGAGGATGGACTCGATGATGGCCGTGTAGAACTGCACCAACATCTGTGCAGGCAGCTTGGCTTTCCTGAGCTGCCGCAGGAAGTACATCCTCTGCTGGGCCTTCTTGATGAGGGAGCTGATGGTCGGCTCCCACTTGAGGTCCTGGGTGATGGTGGTGCCCAGGAAACGGAAGGACTCCACAGAGGTGATGGGGGAGTCCATCACGGAGGGTGGGGGCGGGGGGACAGTGTTCTTCCTGAAGTCCACAATCATCTCCACTGTCTTCTGGGCGTTCAGCTCCAGGTTGTTACCACTGCACCAGGACACCAGCCGGTCCACCTCCCTCCTGTAGGCGGACTCATCGTTGTTGGAGATGAGTCCAATGAGGGTGGTGTCGTCCGCGAACTTGATCAGCTTCACGGAGTCGTGGCTGGAGGTGCAGTGGTTGGTGTACAGGGAGAAGAGCAGGGGAGAAAGAACACAGCCCTGTGGGGCTCCTGTATTTATAATCCGAGGGTCCGAGACATTCTTCCCCAGACGCACTCGCTGCTTCCTGTCCGTCAGGAAGTCAGTGATCCACCTGCAGGTGGAATCGGGCACTTTGAGCTGGGAGAGCTTGTCCTGGAGCAGGGATGGCAGGATTGTGTTGAAGGCAGAGCTGAAGTCCACGAACAGGACCCTGGCGTAGGTCCCCGGGGAGTCCAGGTGCTGTAGGATGTGGTGGAGGGCCAGGTTAATGGCGTCGTCTACAGATCTGTTGGCTCTGTAGGCGAACTGCAGGGGGTCCAGGAGGGGGGAGGTGAGGGACTTGAGATGGGAGAGAACCAGGCGTTCAAATGACTTCATGACGACAGACGTAAGTGCTACAGGTCTGTAGTCATTGAGTCCTGTGATCCTGGGCTTCTTCGGGACGGGGACAATGATGGAGGATTTGAAGCAGGCCGGGACATGGCAAGACTGCAGAGAGGTGTTGAAAATGTCCGTGAACACAGGAGTAAGCTTACTGGCGCAGTGTCTCAGAGTGGCCGGAGACACGTGGTCCGGGCCAGGAGCTTTGCGGGGGTGCAGCCTCAAGAAGAGTTGTTTAATCTCTTTAGCGGCTATTGTTAGGCTGGGGGCAGGGCTGATGGGTGGGTCGTTAGAGTAGTGGGGGGTGGGGGAGGGAGAGGTGTCAGGGGCAGCATCAAAGCGACTGAAAAATAAGTTCAGATCGTCAGCTAGCTTGTGGTCATCAGCACAGGGGGGGGCTTTGGGTTTGTAGTTGGTGATCTCCCGTAGGCCCCTCCAGACAGAAGCAGTATCGTTGTTACCAAACTGCTCCTGTAGTCGTTCTCTGTGCCGGGACTTGGCTGCTTTCAGTTCTTTCCTGAACTGATATTTAGCTGCTTTGTAGCCGCTGCGGTCCCCCTCCCTGAAAGCAGACTCCTTTGCTTTCCTGAGCTGCCGGAGTTTAGCAGTGAACCAGGGTTTGTCGTTGTTATAGATTTTTTTGGCTAGAACATGAACTAAATCAGCCGCAGATGCCAAGAAAACAGGCAATAGGTCCATGGGAACGGTGGGTCGGATGTTCATAAGTTCCTCACGGGTGTAGGAACAGCCAGATGCACAGTTAAAAAGTAAAAACAAAAGAAAAAGAGAGCAGCAAAGAGCCATGTCGACCGTACGCGGCGCCATCTTGTATGCATGAGTGTGAAATACAACAAGTTATCAACAATAATCTATTGCACTCTGTAAGCCGATTCACTTTTCTACAAGTGTATTCAAATGATAATTCAAGGGACATAAAGAATAGATCAAAATTTGGGATTAATCGTGAGTTAACTATGACATTCATGCAATCGCGATATAAAAATGTAATCAATGGACAGCACTAATTTAATTGTGTTATTTTTGGTGGAAACTTGTTAAAACCTGCGAGACTTGTGGGTGCTGTGTTGCAATGGTTTCTGGGATTCAAAGCTTTTATAATCAGGAAGTAATTTGTAGACAGAAAAGACCATGGCAAAGAGGGGCAGGAGCAGGAGTTAGTAAGTAAGTAAGTAAGTAAGTTTTTATTTATATACCGCCTTTTCACTGCAGATCTGAGTCTCAAAGCGGTTTACAATTGTTAATTTTGGGCATTTGTCTCTCACTCCACACAGAGATGGGAGCGGGGTCACCAGTACAGGAGGCACATGCCAGAACTATTGGACATATTTTTAGTGGTAGGGGAAACCGGAGTACCCGGAGGAAACCTACGCAGACACGGGGAGAACATGCAAACTCCACTCAGAAAGGCCCTGGTCCGACCGGGATTCGAACCCAGGACCTTCTTGCTGAGAGGCGAGAGTGCTATCCACTCAGCCACCGTGCCGCTAGTTAGGGCTACTAGAGAGAAAGACCAGCGAGAGACCAGCGAGAGACCAGCGAGAGACCAGCGGGAGACCAGCGGGAGACCAGAGAGAGACCAGAGAGAGACCAGAGAGAGACCAGAGAGAGACCAGAGAGAGACCAGAGAGAGAGACCAGAGAGAGAGACCAGAGAGAGAGACCAGAGAGAGAGACCAGAGAGAGAGACCAGAGAGAGAGACCAGAGAGAGAGACCAGAGAGAGAGACCAGAGAGAGAGACCAGAGAGAGAGACCAGAGAGAGAGACCAGAGAGAGAGACCAGAGAGAGAGACCAGAGAGAGAGACCAGAGAGAGAGACCAGAGAGAGAGACCAGAGAGAGAGACCAGAGAGAGAGACCAGAGAGAGACCAGAGAGAGACCAGAGAGAGACCAGAGAGAGACCAGAGAGAGACCAGAGAGAGACCAGAGAGAGACCAGAGAGAGACCAGAGAGAGACCAGAGAGAGACCAGAGAGAGACCAGAGAGAGACCAGAGAGAGATCAGAGAGAGACCAGAGAGAGACAAGAGAGAGAGACAAGAGAGAGACCAGAGAGAGACCAGAGAGAGACCAGAGAGAGAGAGACAAGAGAGAGAGACCAGAGAGAGACCAGAGAGAGACCAGAGAGAGACCAGAGAGAGACAAGAGAGAGAGACAAGAGAGAGACCAGTGAGAGACCAGAGAGAGACCAGAGAGAGACCAGAGACAGACCAGAGAGAGAGAGACAAGAGAGAGAGACCAGAGAGAGACCAGAGAGAGACCAGAGAGAGACCAGAGAGAGACCAGAGAGAGACCAGAGAGAGACAAGAGAGAGACCAGTGAGAGACCAGAGAGAGACCAGAGACCGACCAGCGGGAGACCCGAGAGAGAGACCAGAGAGAGACCAGAGAGAGACCAGAGACCGACCAGAGACCGACCAGCGGGAGACCCGAGAGAGAGACCAGAGAGAGACCAGAGAGAGACCAGAGAGAGACCAGAGAGAGACCAGAGAGAGACCAGAGAGAGACCAGAGAGAGACCAGAGAGAGACCAGAGAGAGACCAGAGAGAGACCAGAGACCGACCAGCGGGAGACCAGCGGGAGACCAGCGGGAGACCAGCGGGAGACCCGAGAGAGACCCGAGAGAGACCCGAGAGAGACCCGAGAGAGAGACCAGAGTAAGAGATACTCAACAGTTTTTCATAAGAATAAGGATATTTGTTTTGCATCATTTTTGGTTTTTGTATTGAAACTGCATTTTGATCTTATTGTGTTAAAAAATGTTGAAGAGCTCGTACCTGTAATATGTGGTGTTGTCTTGGCATGAACCAAGTTCTGGCACATTCTCTCCAGTTTGGACTCCGACATGTACCTGAAGTCTGACCGATGATGACATTGGCCCCTTTAAACACAGCACAAGTCAATATCACATCCATGATTTTATATTTCTGCACATTGAGAGAGCAGAGAGAGAGAAACCAGAGAGAGAGAAACCAGAGAGAGAGAAACTAGAGAAACCACAAAGGAAGACCAGAGAGAGACCAGAGAGAGACCAGAGAGAGACCAGAGAGAGACCAGAGAAAGACCAGAGAGAGACCAGAGAGAGACCAGAGAGAGACCAGAGAGACACACAATCCTATAAACAAACCTTATGTGATGTATATTAATAAGTGTATAATCTAGCCCAAGTGTTGCCCTGGTGACATATATGATTGCCCAGGTTGCCCCTGGTTACCTATGATTTTATTTAATTCAACAAAGGTGATGTGATTTTGTTTTATATATCAGGAGCAGTGGTCACCATAGTAACAGGGGCCCATCTCCAGATGTTAGTCTAACCCTAACCAGAGATGGACTATTTTACCTATTGTTTGTTTTTATTGGGGCGACAGTGGCTCAGTTGGTAGAGCATTGGCTTTTGAGCCTGAAGGTCTTGGGTTCGAGCCCACCAAAAGACTTTCTCCACCAACTCCCACTGATGTCTGCTGTCTTTGTGTCCCCGGGCAAGACACTTTTGCCTGAAGCCCCTGCTGAATAACCAGAGAGGGGCTGGTGCTATGTGTACTGGGTTGTATCTCTGGCCACCCCTCTGACCCAGAAATGGATTAAGGGGAATTGTATGGATGGCTGGATGGATGGATGTTTTTATTGATTGGGGAACCGAAACACCTGGAGGAACTTCTTGCCGGAGTACCTGCTAACTATCTGCTAACTATTCAGCCACTGTGTCGCTATTTTTGTCATAGTAAATGCTTAAATCTGAAGAGTAGATAGATAGATGGATGTATTCTTTAGTGATTCCCATAGGAGATATTCAGGCGTGTATGTCAAAGCTTTTTTACATTGATAAACAACATCACATTAGGTTTATTCTGTGGGTTTTTGTTAAAATAATGTGCAAAGAGAGACACTATATAAATCAATTTGGGCACTTTTAGTTTAGTCCTCACTTATGAAAAGATAATTGATTAGTTAATTGGTATTTATGAAGCACTTGTTAATTCACACTTAGCTGTTAAATTGTGAGGGCTAATCTGAAGTGGTACCAGTCATATGAATACATCTTCAGAGTTGGCCTTAGATGCTATAGTGAGCAGAGCTGAGCCGTACCGTTCTCCAGGCTGGCGTAGTTGGGCCCTTGTTTCCCCTCCTTATAAAGCAGACGAGAGTACGAGTCCTGGTCCGCTTTGTGATACAAGTGACCTGCACAGACACATCAAGGACATCAGGGACAACAAAGTTTTATTGACATTTTGTGAACATTTCAACCCACAACCTGCTGTTTATTGAGGAGTAGGAGAGTGCTGTAGGGTCGGAGAGGGATTGTGTGTGGGTGTGTGCATGATTTGTGCGTGTTTTTTTGTTGTCTCTCTGTGGGTGTGTGTGTCTTTGTGTCTGTTTGTTGCTTTTTGAACCATGTACTTGTTATCTCAGTGATAACATGTGTTGTGCAGCTTCTAATGAAGATTAAAAATCAGTTCCAAAGCCACAGTCGCTTTGATGACACAGTCTCACATAAGTCTTACCAAAAGTCATGGTCATTGTCGCCGCAAACAGAAACAGACACAGCGTCTGAAAATGTCTCCTCAGAAACATCCAATATTTACTGGATCTTCTCCGAGGTTTCACTTCCGGAGCATCATGCGTGAATCTATTGTCGTCCTCCAGCTGTTCCTCTTGCCTACTGCGAGGCTGCCTCCTGCGTTTGTTGAACACTCTACAACACAAACAGGAATATCAAATGATACAAACATGAAACAGACCATAGTGCTCTTGAAACTCTGGATTTACTTGTAGGGTGTTTCTTTGTAGGAGATGGAAGGCCGGCCCTCGCTTCTGTAATAACCCTGCTGTTGGAGACGTCCGCTTCTCCTCAGATCTGAAATGACATTTAAACAACACATTTATCGTAAGCGCAAAACCATTTCTAGCCAAAGACGAGAGGATTTTGAAACTAATTTAGCAGAGAAACTCAAAATTTGAGAGAAAGATTAGGTGCATTATTGTTAAGATATATAGTTAGATAGATTCAGGTGTCCAGCAGCAGGAAGTAAAACCAGATCTAGTTCAGATCAACAAAGATTCAGAAAAAAATATGGTTTTACTGCAAGATCTTTGTTCTAGATATTCTACAATACCCAGAATTCTTTAGTCCTGTGATTATACAATGGGTGTCATGGGATATAAGAGGGACCAGAGAGCGACCAAAGAATGAGAAAATACTGATCATCCCAAAGTCCTGTCCCTTACCCTGACCTCAGCCCTGACCTCAGCCCTGACCTCAGCCCTGACCTCAGCTCTGACCTCAGTTTTGACCTCAGCTCTGACCTCAGCTCTGACCTCAGTTTTGACCTCAGTTGTGCAGCTTTAGTCTGTGCAGAACGGGACCTGTGTCTCTTTTATCCCTCGTGCTACTGTGTTGTGTCTTTTGTTGTGTGCTCCTCACAGTAACCTGCGATGCAACACTGACATTTCCCATTTGTGGCATGAATACAGGATCTCTTCATCTTAATCTTAACAAAGGCTTAATACGTCTCACTGAGAAACATGTGATGTGACATTGAAACAATATTCTATTTCTCTGAGTTTCACCTGAACGCGCTAGTAAAAGAAGATATTTACATGTGTATTGCCCAAAATCACAACAGTAGTGGTCTCTGTGGACTTTACAAAGTTGGTGATTCACCAAAAACAGATCAGAGAATCAATCAGTTTGAACACAGAAAATGCAATAATAACAAACACATCCATAGGGAGCGGGATGCCCACTGTCCAGATATGTTGATAAATGTCCCGAATCATCACTGTCCTTTGACCCTCCTGAATCCACAAGACCCCACTCAGTTATGTTAGCATACACACCATAGCTACATATTCACACGTTTGTATCATTTTAAACCCTGTCTTTCATGAGAGGAATTCAAATCCAAACATAGAAACTGACTCCAACCAACTGCATCTTTGTCCATTTCTTGTTTTTCTTTGAGTTTTGAGATGAATCTCTGAGGTTAAAATGAACATTGTACTCACCGATGGGATGCGCATATTCGGACGCAGATACAGCTACGTATCCGAACATTTTGCCCTAATATCGTCTGAGCAAAAAAAAACCCGACTGCTCTGTTGAGCTGCTAACAGTATACTGAGGCTTTGGTCAGACTGATGAACCCAGGCCAGTGTGGAGTAGAACCCGGTTGCTACGGTAATTGGAATCACCGACGGAACTCCAGATGCATTACATCATTCTAAATGGATGACATCGGGCTTTCTGATTGGCTGATGAGCTGTGCATTGAAATACAGTGCCTTGCGAAAGTATTCGGCCCCCTTGAACCTTTAAACATTTCGCCAGATTTCAGGCTTCAAACATAAAGATATAAAATTTTAATTTTTTGTCATGAATCAACAACAAGTGGGACACAATCGTGAAGTGGAACGAAATTAATTGGATAGTTTAAACTTTTTTAACAAATAAAAAACTGAAAAGTGGGGCGTGCAATATTATTCGGCCCCTTTACTTTCAGTGCAGCAAACTCACTCCAGAAGTTCAGTGAGGATCTTTGAATGATCCAATGTTGTCCTAAATGACTGATGATGATAAATAGAATGCACCTGTGTGTAATCAAGACGCCGTATAAATGCACCTGCTCTTTGATAGTCTCAGGGTTCTGTTTAAAGCGCCGAGAGAACCATGAAGACAAAGGAACACACCAGGCAGGTTCAAGATACTGTTGTGGAGAAGTTTAAAGCCGGATTTGGATACAAAAAGATTTCCCAAGCTTTAAACATCTCAAGGAGCACTGTGCAAGCAATTATATTGAAATGGAAGGAGTATCAGACCACTGCAAATCTACCAAGACCCGGCCGTCCCTCCAAACTTTCATCTCAAACAAGGAGAAGACTGATCAGAGATGCAGCCAAGAGGCCCATGATCACTCTGAATGAACTGCAGATAACTACAGCTGAGGTGGGAGAGTCTGTCCATAGGACAGAAATCAGTCGTGCACTGCACAAATCTGGCCTTTATGGAAAAGTGGCAAGAAGAAAGCCATTTCTCAAAAATATCCATCAAAAGTCTCGTTTAAAGTTTGCCACAAGCCACCTGGGAGACACACCAAACATGTGGAAGAAGGTGGTCTGGTCAAATTAAACCATAATCAAACTTTTTGGCCACAATGCAAAACGATATGTTTGGCGTAAAAGCAACACAGCTCATCACCCTGAACACACCATCCCCACTGTCAAACATGGTGGTGGCAGCATCATGGTTTTCTTCAGCAGGGACAGGGAAGATGGCTAAAATTGATGGGAAGATGGATGGAGCCAAATACAGGACCATTCTGGAAGAAAACCTGTTGGAGTCTGCAAAAGACCTGAGACTGGGACGGAGATTTATCTTCCAACAGGACAATGATCCAAAACAGAAAGCCAAATCTACAATGGAATGGTTCACAAATAGACGTATCCAGGTGTTAGAATGGCCAAGTCAAAGTCCAGACCTGAATCCAATCAAGAATCTGTGGAAAGAGCTGAAGAATGCTGTTCACAAACGCTCTCCACCCAACCTCACTGAGCTCGAGCTGTTTTGCAAGGAAGAATGGGAAAGAATTCCAGTCTCTCGATGTGCAAAACTGATAGAGACATACCCCAAGCAACTTGCAGCTGTAATTGCAGCAAAAGGTGGCGCTACAAAGTATCGCAAGGGGGCCGAATAATATTGCACGCCCCACTTTTCAGTTTATTTGTTAAAAAAGTTTAAATTATCCAATACATTTTGTTCCACTTCACAATTGTGTCCCACTTGTTGTTGATTCTTGACACAAAATTAAATTTTTATATCTTTATGTTTGAAGCCTGAAATTTGGCGAAATGACATATTTCATATTTTTAAAGTTTTACTTCAGTATGTATGGTGTTGGTTCTGCAGAAGTTAAACGTTGAGAACAAATGCTGTCTTCATCTTATTAGAAAACACTTTGCTTTTGAATGCGCTGGAAACGGCAGAAAGTCCTAAGTAGATCTGAAACAGTTTGTTACAGTAGGTCCCATTTCGTTTTGTCGCCTTTCACGCGTGAATAGCACGAGACTCACGTGTCAAACACCCGTCTTTTTTTTTTTTTTTCCCAGTGATGCTGCAATGACCCAAAAAACCACCAGGTGGCACTTGTGAGCAGTGCCACCTTGAGCTTTATGACACCCAGTCATAAAGCTCAAGTCTTTGGCGCAGGAGGACCTGGGTTCTAGTACAAGTTAAAGACTTTTGATACAACTCCACAATCAGCACCAAGTTATGAAGATAAAATTATTCCACTTTTGTACTGGCTTTTTATCTTTGCAGGGTTAGGAACATTGTCGGAAAATCTTCTGCTTTTAACCTCTTAACTCCCACCGAGCACGTTTTCTCCAGTGTTAAATAAAAAATACTTAGTAATTAGGCCAACACATTTAAAATAGTTGCTAGACTGTAGTAAACTGTTGTAAACTTCACAATCTGCACCAACCAAACTGCAGGAAAAAAATGCAACTTTATTCAGTAACGGAGTAATCTGATTCATATACTCCCCCCGCTAATAAAAATTGAGGATTGGCCGGGGCTCAAACCCTGATCGTCCAAGCGAAAGTCTTGGACAATCCTGCTACACCACACAGGCGCTGGAGAAAACACTGGATCTAATCGGACAGAGCGCTGAGTGAATGAGCCGTGCGGATGTGCAGGACGCTTAAAATGCCTCATATGCAAGTTAATGCAAATGTTTGCCATATGATCTGCTACTCCTGTGCATTTTAGAATTCCTAATTAATGGTAGCTATATGTAACATGTGTAGTTTAAATTTTTGTAATTATACACAGCCTATATATTGCTAATCAAAGTAAAAGTATTCAGAATACAGTGTACATTCGTGTTTGTTTTGTTCCAATGTTTCACGTTCAATAACGCACTTGCTGCTGGCTATCCCATACTGTAGAAGAAGTCAGAAAGGAACTTTTGAGAAGAAGTGTTTTTATTAAAAAATAAGAAGTAAAAATAAGTAATAAAGTAAAATACAATTGTATTGTTACAGTACTTACAATACAGTGCAGTAAGTTAGTACAGTATTTTACAGAGTCAATCCTTTGACTTTAAACCGCGTTTTGATAGGCCCGAAGTGAGCAAAAAATCCTTTTGACAAGGAAAGAAGATAACAAGCTGATAACGTTACGTAATTGCACACAAGCAACCAAAAGGTGTGCAACCAAAATTGCCTCAGACAAGAATCGAACCCAGATCCCCCGGAATCCTAACCTGCAACTCAAACCATTCGGCCAACATAGTATCACTAGGCAAATTACGTTTGCACGCAGACTTATACCTGAGCGTTTAAGTCGCTGGCAGAGCTAAAGCGGACTTAACCTGCCACCTTGTGGCAATAAGATGTAATATGTTTCACGCAGCTGCGTGATTCATGAAAAGCGTGAGTGAAGACGACAAAACGAAATGGGACCTACTGTAGCTACTTGTAGAATTTCTCCTACGATAGATCAATAAGTTGAGAGGATGGTCCTCTCCTATCACTTTTCTGTCTGAGAAAGTTGGGTGTCTCAGCTTTGACTATAGGTAATGAAATCCATCTCACTCGGGCTTGGCTCTAAAAGAATTGCTTCTTTTACTTGTTTGCACATGCATTTGTCAGGCATACACACACACACTCACACACTCATACACACACACGTGTGCACACACACAAGCATAGAGACACATACAAACGTACGTACAATACACACACAAACACGCACACACCCACACACACACTGGCTAATTTGCATAGCCGGTGCCATTAGAAAAGCTTTTTAAAGTCTTACAATGTTTTCTAAATGTCTAATATGTTTTGGTGCCATACAATTAAAGTTTATTTCCTTCCCCAAATGTATTAACATAAACAACAGGCGAGAGAGAGCAGCAGCTGCATGTGAGCTCCACTGGGAGGAACACAACGATATTGATATTGATATCATCAATATCAAGGCAAGGCAAGGCAAGGGAAGTTTATTTATATAGCACAATTCATACACAAGGCAATTCAAAGTGCTGAACAAAACAAGAAAGCATTAAAATCATAAATTATCACAGAACATTAAAAAGAAAGATAAAAATATAAAATCCCTCAGTTGTATGCACAGTTAAACAGAACTGTCTTTAACCTGGTTTTAAACATTGTCAGAGAGGAGGCCTGTCTCACATCTTCAGGAAGACTGTTCCAGATTTTAGCAGCATGAATCTGAAAAGCAGCCTCCCCATGTTTAGTTCTGACTCTGGGCACTAACAGGAGTCCAGTCCCTGTGCTCCTCAGAGTCCGGGCTGGTTCATATGGGACTAACATGTCTGGTTCATATGGGACTAACATATCAATATCAGGCTCAAAGCTAAAGTAAACACAGGTGACAATACACTACTGAGAGAGAGACCAGAAAGAAGAGCGTATTTTTTAATGTTTTTTTGGTTGGGACAATACATATTAATGGACACATCACTCTGGATTGGACGCCCCCACTGAAAGATCAAGGCTATGCTCACACTCAGAGAGCAGCCGTCCTCCTGTGGACTCACCACCTGCAGAGGGTCAGTGAGGGGCTGGTGCTATGAGACTTGGGTGGCATCTCTGATTGCCACCCCCCTGACCCAGAAATGGATTAAAGGGTAGAAAATGGATGGATGGATGGATGGATGGATCACTCTGGATTGCAGCCATGGGCTAATTTGCATCCGTTGTCCCACATTGGCACTCACAAACACACACTCATCCTGAACTATTGCACATGTTTTTAAAGCTAGGGTAAACCGGAGTACCTGGAGGAGACCTACGCGGACACGGGGAGAACATGCAAACTCCACTCAGAAAGGCCCTGTTCCATCTGGGATTCGAGCTCAGAACCTTCTTGCTGAGAGGCGAGAGTGCTATCCACGCTCATAATGACACAATTTACTGCTAAAGTTTCCCAACACTGTGTCATTAAATATAATTATCTCCTACTTCAGCTGAGAGCATGTGCTGTGACAGTGAAGCAGCTAATGAGAAGTCTCAGAGGGACCAGCCGCAAACA